TTTACAAATTGGTATTTTGTCATATCTTGCCCTGTCCGACGTCTCCCTTCACCCACTTTTCAGTTGTCGGGTAGTCCTTCTTTGTGCCATAAGGGAGACTGTGTGTCAAGATCAACTACATGGCACAGGGCCACCGCAACCTATCTGCTAGTTATAATAATTATTTGGAGTAAATAAGGCTCTCACTGTCCCGTTTTAGAGGTCATGTTAACTTAGGGTGTGTCTAATTTGTTTTGAGCATCGGCTGGTTAAACAAAGACACACAGTAGATTGAGAAGGCAGAGACTGGGGCACAGGAAGAGGATGGAGCCCAGAAAGGGAGATTCAGAAGAGACTAGGGCTTCCCACCAGTGCCCCCACAGAGAGCTAGCCTTCCCTAGAACCAGCGTCCCGAATTCAGACTTCCAGCCTCCACAACTCCTGGGAGCAGCGTGAAGAGGGCAAAGGGTGCATTGCATTTCACTGGGCAAGTCTGCTACACAGGACCTCTTTGGAGGGCTGAGAAGCAAGGGTGTTACTCTGAGAAGAGGTGCGGTGGACCCAAGCCGTGGTCTTCCCAGTTGCCTCCCGCGCATGGGAAAGTGGGGCACTGACTAAGGAAGACCACAGAAGGAGCAATGCACTTGAACTGTGTATTAGAGTGTCAGTTCTGAGCACTGTGCCCCGATTTGCAGATGGCTCTGAATGACAGGGAAAACTTCAGGTCCATTTGCTGTGATTAATGTGGGAAACGGAGGAACAGAAGAGTGTATGCAGACAAATTCTTTATTCTCATATTTAAGAAGCCCAAGAAGCCAGGATTTGGGGTGGATGGAGGCCTTCACACTTGAGGATTAGAGATAAATCCCAATCACATCCTCATAACTAAGATTAATCCCCACAATAGCCTCCCATGATAATGCTGCCTGAAAGTTACCTCTTACAAGCACATGGCTGATAGCTCTCTTGCAGGCAGCTTTATCTATAGGAGCAGACATGTCGCTATTGTTCTCCCTGCTCAGGGGACAGTCACTCCCCCTTACCTGCCCCCAGCACTGGTGTTAGGTTACTATCCAATGAGCTCAGGGACCTCTAGGATTAGGGTACTGCCCACTTTGTTAGGTATGCGGTTACCTGTAATTTGCGGGAGGGGGGAAGGGCCCTTGCATGCCCCAGGAGTATATAAGGTGATGTTGGGAATGCATTCTCTCTCTCTATGCCCCGGCCTGGGCCTGGTTCCTGAAGCCATGGTGGAGGAGAGGTGAACACCCCACAACTCTTGTCTGTCTCTTAAATTTTTTCCCTTCAGTTACCCAACCATCCCTTAGGACCTGTCCAGATGTGAGGCTGGATCTCATATAGATGAAGACTTCTTGAATTCCTTGGGACCATTCACCAAGGACGGAGATAACCTGGCCTTCTGGCAGCATGCATTGGGCAGTGAATGACCCCTCCCCCTCTCCAGACAGCCCCCGGGAGGAGCAGTCTCTCTTAGGGACTTGCCTGGGTATAGCCTTGATGAAGGTCACTGTACTGGTGAAGGTACTGTGGGTCACTTAGCCATGAGCCATGCCTTATCAGTCACGGCCTGGGTCGGTCCTGGAACAAACTTGAAAGCTCTTCTATGGAACATGATGTTCATGCTCCAATCACAGCTTGCCCCTGACTCTATTCCCACCCGTGACTGTGATGTGGCAGTGTTCCGAGTTCCATGCCTTATATCCCCTTTCTGAACTGTAGGGCACCACAATCACCTATCGCTAATGCCTCCCTCATTCAGAAACGGTGTCTGTGTTTTTGTGTTGTCTTTGTCTCTTCTGAAGTCGTTTAGTGCTTTCCTTCCATTACATTCGAGACCAGGGTCTCCCTTGTACCCCCAAACATAGTGAAGCATATCAAAAGCACCCCAGACAGAACCAATACATCTGCCTCGCAGGAAGTTCAGCTAGGCTGCTTCTTAGAGGGCAAGCAGCGAAAAAGAGGAAGGCCTTCGACAAGATGGATGGACACAGTGGCTGTAGCAAGGGGCTCGGGCATAGGAAGCACGGTGAGGGTGGAGCAGGACTGGGCAGGGGCTTGTTCCGGGGGACATGAAGGTCCCTGGGAGTCCAACCTGACCCTGGAACAGACTCCGGGGCACTGAATAAGAACAAACCCCGAGGTCACCCATTCCTGTTCCTGAAAACCACCTGCTCATGGCGGTGCTGGATAAGGAGGCTGCCTCCCTCCCCACCCCCTCCCAATTCTCTCCCTCTGGACACCCAGGGCTCTGGACCCAGCACCTCTCCTCCACATACCCAGCTTCTACAAAGCCCAGGGGTCTAACCTCCACAGACCTCAGGGACCCCTGCTTAGATGCCAGGTGGGCTCCCCGCTCCAGAACGAACAAGAATTATACCCTGCTCTTTGTCTCAGCTCCCCAGTCCCAGCCGCCTTCCCGCCTGCTCCATCCCTGGTGCGCCCCAGTAGAACTGTTCTCCACAGGGAATGTCCATGGCTGGCATTTAGGAAGCAGATCACCAGGCCTCTCTTCTGAGCTGCCTGGAGTGGGGTGGGAAGGGAGGGGTTTGCGGGGTGGTTGTGGGCCTGGTGGGGCCACCGCCAGGGGGCACTGCTAGCTCTCAGCTCGGGAAAAGCAAACTCCACTACTTACTACGAAGTCAAATGCAATTCACGCAGAGCCTATAGGAGTAGAAAGCCTCCTCTCTCTGCCCCCCAGGAGTGGTTGGGAGTTCTGAACTGACCTTGCTTCAGCAACCCAGTACCTAGCACACTGTGCTACCAGGGCTTCTAGCTCTCAACAGATGGATTATTTCAGCCCAGAAGTCCAGTTCCCTGCCCACCCCTCCTACCCAGCACGCCCCCACCCCCACCCCACCCAGCCTCAGAAACCCAGGCAACTGGTTTTCCAACTTCTAGCTGGTTCTCAGTTCCCCAATCCCCTGGGCCCCTCCCGCAGAACCTTCCAGGCAACTGGTATACAGTTACCCAGCCTCAGAACCCTGGGTCCCTGGCCTGGAGTTTCCTCAATGCTGGGAGGGGAAACACTAGGGACAGGGACATCTGGCTGGTGTCCCTCAGACCCTAGGGAACGCGGGGTCTCTTGGGGCTGAGGCCAGCGGAACCATTCCCAGGCCCTAAACAGTCTAACCTCTGCTGACAGCCCCACTCCCCTTAGGAACCCCAGGCGGCCTCTCTGGGCCCCGGGGAAATAAAGCTTCCTCCTTCCGCAGCCTGCGACACAGGAGGGGACAGCGCAGACTTTAACTCCTTCAGGGCACAGCTCCACAGGTCTGGGGCCCTCCCTTCGAACCCAGCTCCTCCTCCCTCAGGCTCGCCCCTTCCTCCCTCGGACCAGGAGACCTGATCTCTAACCCCTTCCTCCCTCGGATCGGGAGTCCTGGCCCCCAGCCCCTCCTCCCTTAGGCCCGGGAATTCCAATCGCCTGGCCCCTCCTTTAGTTCAGGAGTGTTTGTCCCTCCCTTAGCGTCAGAGCACCTAGACCACTCACCGGCGGTTTCAGTCTAGGACGCAGACCGAGAGAGATCCGGCCGAGCAGGAGGACTGAAACACCTGGAAACAGAGAGCGAAAACGTCAGCGCCCTGAGGAGCCAGGGATCCACCCACCACCCCTCCCTGGGGACCCGGACGTCCGCGCGAACCCGACCAGGGTAAGAATTTGGCCTTGAGCCCCAAGGCCTCCGGGCGGGGACTCCGGGAGCCCAACCACGCCCCACGGGTCTGGCTACTTGCACAAACCGCGTGGGCGGGAGTTTGGGGAAAAGGGCGCGGGGCACCCCTTGGGGTCAGCGGCCGGGTGTGGAGTCTGCCCAGTCTTTACTCTATGGGGATGGTGCCGGGGGGCGGGTTGGCAGCTGGGCCCCGGGGCGGTGGCCGCGGGGGCGGGCAGACCGGCCAGCTCGGCGGCTCCGCGCCTTATAAGGGCGTCCCCCGCTGGAGGGGGGGCATCTGGAATGTGGCGGGGACCCCCGCCCCGCCCGGCTCTGCGCGTTCCTCTTCCGGTGCTGGAGCACAGGAGACCGGGTGCTCAGATTCCAGAAAGGGCACGGCTGGGGAGCTAAAACCCCCGGGTTCCTAAAAGTGTACGTCTGGGGTCCCTACAAACCGAAGGGTGCAGGAGGCCCGGGTGGGTGACGTGGTTTGCTAATCCTCCCAGGGGCGCAGTGGGAGGAAGGCAGGCCAGACGATCCTCCCCAGAGATGATTAATATCGAGGTATCTAGCAAGTCGTGATTCAACTCTCTCATGGTGACCAAAAAACAACTGGCCCCACTGGGCTTTTGGGGGGCTTTTTTTTTCTTTTCTTTTCTGGTGGCAGTTGTGTTTTTAACAGAGCATTTGCCGGGCCTTTCTTCAGTAGTGCAGCTGGGTGAACTGAAACAGCCAAGTGGCTAACCACTGCACCAGCAACGCCCTTTGCACCAAAGACTTCCCACCCACTGAAGGAGCCCCGGCGGCATAGTGGTTAAGCTTTGTGCTGCTAACCTGGAGGTCAGCAGTTCGAAACCACCAGCGGCTCCAAGGGAGAAAGATGAGACTTTCTATTCCGGTCAAGAGTTACAGCCTTAGAAATCCACAGGGGCAGTTCTACCTTGCCCGATAGGATCCCCGTGGACTTGATGGCAGGGAGCTGCAGAGGGACCCTAGTGGACTGCCACATCATCCCTGCAAGTCACTTGTGGGTTCAGACTGAACCGCTGCACCACACAAGGGGATTAAGCCGCAAAGCGAACTCACTGCTCCGGTCGGTCGAGTAGATTCCCATTCAAACCAAATGATCGAGCCTGCCATCAAGTCTACGCGGGCTCAGAGCCAGTAGGACAGGGTAGAAGTGTGCCGGTGGGGTTTCCGAGCCTGGGCCTCTTTGGGACAGAAAGCCCTAATTTTTCTCCGCCAGTGCGGCCGGTGGGTTCGAACCGCTGGCCTGGTGGTTAGCAGCCCAAACACATAACCCACTCGGCCACCACAGTCTAACCCACTGCGCTCGGACTCAAGAGTTGGCTCTAGATAGGGTTTTCTTCCTAGGAATCTTTCCAAGAGCAGACAGCCTTATCTTCCTCTGGGTGAGAGCTTCGCTAGTTGGCACTGAAGATAGTTAGAATCCCAAGCCCGACAGGACGCAGCGGGGTCCAAGAGCAGGGATCCAGTGGGCAGTCCCTAATGCCACCACAGGCCCGGAGACCCTGACTGAGTGGTACGCTGGGGACCGGGACTCCAGGGTCGGACTGCAGCCCTGGGTGAGTCGCAGCCTGCCACGGGGGAAGTCGTGCGACTAGCTGCCCTGGTCTCCAGAAGGTGGGCTGTTTTTCTCTCGCCCCTGGAAAGGTGGAGGAAGGCGGGGGTGGGGTGGGGGGTAGATGGCTGCATCATTGTGGGTGAAAGGTGAGTTGGCTAGTGAAAGCCGGGGTCCACCTCCGCCCCTCCGAGTCACCAACCGTAGCTTGCCGCCTGAGGTCAGCGCTCTGGAACGCTCAGGCGGAAAGCACAAGTAACCTGGCCCGGGTCCTAGCTGCCCGACCACACCCAGGGCCTTCTTACTCCCCACCTCCACCCCCGCCCCCGCCGAGGCCACACCCGGACCACGCGGGAGACTCCGAAGCCCGCCTTAGACACCCAGGCGTGGCTCTGAGCGCCCCCCACCCCACCAGTCTCGCCCAGGGATGCTTGCTGGGCTCCAGGACGCCTCGCTGGGCGGCGCAGCCCTCAGCCTTTCTGGGGAGTCGAACGCTCGCCTGCTGCCAGGGATGGGGAGGGTGCCAGGGATTCTGAACCCCAGCCATGCTCACAGACACCCAGGGCGTCCCACCCCGGCTCCCAGTCACCCAAGAGGCAGGCGTTCACCATTCCAATTCGCTGGCTGCTGAGATGGAGGAATCCAAGAGTCCAAGCCCCCAGGTCCGCCTCCCCGCACCCAGGAGTCCTGGTCCCAGTTCAGCTCCGATGCTGAACTGGGGAGTACTGACTCCCTGCTCCTCCTCCCTCTGACCAGGAGTCCTGACACGCCCAAACTTACTCTGTCAACAAGTCCTGATCCCCAGCCCCTATTCCATCAGACCCAGGAGTCCTGGCCCCCAGCCCCTCCTCCCTCAGACCCGGGAATCCTGACCCCCAGTCCTCCTCCCTCAGCCCCTCTCCCCTCGTTTCTAGGTCCCCAGCCCTCTCCTCTCTTAGGATCTAGGAGTCCGGGTCTAGCCGGAGTCTTTCCAGGGATCCAGGCGTTGTGACTCCCAGCCCTGCGCTCCCTGGGCTCCCAGACACTCTCGGGACCGCTACTCCGCCCTCAGGGGTCCCCGCAGTCTCACCTCGCGGGCAGCGGCGGCTGCAGCCGGGAGAGCAGGCGGCGGCGACAGCTGCAGACCAGAAGGGTCTGCAGACTGGGTGGGGTTGACCGTTGGGGAGTGCGCGGGGCCGGGGCGGGGACCAGAGCGGGAGTGAGAGTGGAGGGGCCCAGAGCTGGGGACTTCCCCGAGCTGGGCTACCCCAGCCCCGCCTCCTACGGGGCGTGGCCTGGCTTGCCCCCACCCACCCCGCCTGCCCGCTTATAACAGTACCCGCCAGGAGGGTGGAGGGCTGAGGTCACCGTTGTCTGGGTGACCAAACAGGAAGACACAACAGCTGGTGGCGTGAAGGCTCCGTTGGGGGGCTGCCCTCCCCCTACAGCCTTCCAGAAGTCTCCAGCGGAAGGCTGTTGCCAAAGCAACCCGCCTGTATGGGGTTTGTTTAGTCCCAAGCTCCCCCACCCCACAATTCCTTCTCTCTACCCCCTTTCTTCCTCTTCGTTAGCCCGCGCCAGCCCTCCGCTGGCCCAGGGGTGCCTATACCTGGTCCAGGGGTGCCTATGCCTATACCCCAGCAGCGGGCTGGGGTGGGGGACCCAGAATCCTCTGTGTCATGGGGTTTGTGTGTCCCTGAAAGAGGAGGGGGATGAGTGTGCTCCTCTCTGGGTTTCAAGGGGTTAATCAGAGCGGGGAGCAGACTTCCTGGGCCCCGAGTGGGGTGGGGTGGGAGAATGAATTGGGGGGAGTGGGCACGAACGCCTGGGTCCCACGTGTCGCCTGGGCTGGGGCCCCAGATGTCTGCCTGCAAAGCCAGGGACGCTGTAAGCCGGAATCCTGGGCTCGGAGCTGCCAGAGCTATTTTTGACCTTGCATTCCTGGATCCAGGGAGGGGCTAGGGGGCCCATTCCAGTCCTGAAATCAGGGCGAAGGCTTGGGGGCTCTGGCCAGAGAGGAGGAGGACCCCCCCATGAGGTGGGATGCCAGCGCCCCAGAGCAGGGAGGAGCCCCCCCCCCGCG